GAGAAATCACCCCCCAGGGGGGACGGCCACGCCGCAATCCCTTCTCCTCCATTCTCCTCTCGGGATCTTGGGCACGCACGCACACGCACCCGGTGTGAGTTAAAGCCACTGGGTCCAAGACTCGAACCATGGTTGACTACATGGGAGTCCAGTGACATAGATATTACGCCAACTGCTGGTCCTTTATTTGTTTTTAATTTATGACCAGGGAGGCACACAGAGAGAGAGAGAGAGCGAGAGAGAGCCACCAGGTCCAGGACCTGAACCCTGACTGGCCATGTGGGAGTGTCCAGCGCCTTAACCACCAACACCACCTGCTGGTCCCCCCTGATGTGTTTTCCATCTGCTGGGCCCGGGACTCCAGCTGCAGTTGGCCACGTAGGAGCCCAAGGAGCTCCCACAGCTGCTGCCAGGTCTAGGGTGAGAGTGCAAGACCCACGGGCTCCCCCAGTCGGGTGCCTTAACGACCTCCGCTGCCTCGGCTCGACAGCGGGGCGTGCAGTGTCTGGTGCCCTTTATCAGAGGCGAGGCCCGTGCCCGGCAGAAGTCTTGGCTGGCGTTCCCGAGGTGCAGGGTGGGGTGCGCAGGAACGCCCGCCCCGATGGTTTAAATGTAGGAAAACGCGGGCCAAGGGCGGCCGGGCGGGCGGCGAGCTGGCCGCGGTGGCGCCTCCCACACCCAGAGGTCACGCGCACCAGCTGCGGGACCGGCCGAGCTCATCGGGACGCTGTTCCCTGATGGGACGCGTTCTCCCTCCGCCCCCCATGACAGCGGATCGCGTGAAGAAGGGCTTTGACTTCCAGTGGCCCCAGCCCGATAAGCCGATGTTCTTCTACGTGACCCAGGGCCAGGAGGAGATCGCCAGCTCGGGCACCTCCTACCTGAACAGGTGAGCTCACCCCGCCCGCAGCTCGCCCAGCCGACCCCCAGTTCCCTCTGAAAACCAGCAGCGTCCTCTTCCCCACCACCACCCCGCTTCCTTTGTGTAGCGCCCCGGGACGCACAGGCTGCGGAGAAAGAGCAGGGCCCCCCCAGTGGGGCGCGGTCACGCTGCAGTCCCCTCTCCTCCATCCCATCAGGATCCTGAGCATGCCCCCCCCCCGCTGGGATTTTCAAGCCGCCAGGGCTGGGGTTCAACCTTGGCTGGCTGTGGGGGACCCAGCTCCCTCTGCACAGCCCCGCGACACAGGCTGCTGTGGGCAGATGATCCTCTCTAAGCCCACGCGTGAGCCGTGTCTGTCCCTCAGGACGCCTCTTCCAAAGGGTGAGGAAGGCCGGGACCAGCAGTTAGCGTAATGGCTATGTCGCTGGACTCCCATGTAGTCGACCGTGGTTTGAGTCCCCGATCCGGTGGCTTAAACTCACGCCGGGCGCGTGTGCGTGCGTGCCCAAGATCCCGAGAGGAGAATGGAGGAGGAGGGATTGTGGCGTGGCCATCCCCCCTGGGGGCGATTTCTCGCTTTCTGTCTCTCTGTCTCTCTCTCTCTGTCTGTTGAGTGCACGCGCCCTATAGCAAAAACCTCTCCAAAAAAAAAAAAGATGAGGAAGGCTAGCGTGGGCACGTGGCGGCGTGTGGGGCAGGAGGACCCGGCAGGGCCTTGCAGTGTCGCGCTCTGAGCCGTCACTGTGGCACTGCTGTCCCCGGGCGGTGGGACGTCCACGTCTGGCTGCAGGCGGAGCCGGCCCATACGCCCCACAGCCCCCGCCCGGCCTCAGGCCTTCGGAAGCCCACACGGGAGCCCGGTCCCTGAAAGCCCGCTCTCTCAGGACCGAAGCCGCGAACGTGGAGAAGATCACCACGAAGCTGCTGAAGGCGGGCGCCAAGCCCGACCAGATCGGCATCATCACGCCGTACGAGGGCCAGCGCTCCTACCTGGTGCAGTACATGCAGTTCAGCGGCTCCCTGCACACCAAGCTCTACCAGGTGCGCCCGGCGTGCGGCTCGTGCTGACAGGTTCTTCGGCCGGCCTCGGGGGTGCCACCCGTACCTACGGCCACCCGCTGTGTGGAAATGAACCCCGTGTCGTCGGCACGACCGGCCTGCAAGGGACTCCGTCGTGTCTGGGCTGAGGCCTCGGGCCCCTAGGGGAGACCAGACCAGCGCAGCAGCCCCTGCCCGCCCTGGGAGGCGCCGGCTGGCTCTGACCGCGCTGCTCCCTGCAGGAGGTGGAGATCGCCAGTGTGGACGCCTTCCAGGGCCGCGAGAAGGACTTCATCATCCTGTCCTGCGTGCGGGCCAACGAACACCAGGGCATCGGGTTTCTGAACGACCCCCGGCGCCTGAACGTGGCCCTGACCAGAGCAAGGTAGGGGCCGCTGGCCGGCCGGAGAGGGCCTTGCCAGGGCCGAGCACTGACCCAGAGCAGCACGGGCCGTCGGGGCGGGTTTCTGCACTTGGGCGCCCGTCGGAGAAGGCCCTGTCGAGGCCGTCTTGGCCTGAGGCCTCCGCACAGCCGACGGCCCGTGTCCGACCAGCCGCTTCCGCTGCCTCTGACGTCTCTGTCCTGTCTGCCTTCTTTGGTTCTGGAGTTCGGCTTGGCTCAGATGGGGTAGCAATGGGGCCCTGAGGACGCGGTGGCCCCGTGTGGGTCTCCACGTGAAACCACAGCAGGCCTGCTGGGGGGTGTGCACTAAGACACGCTGCCAGGCTGGGACTGCGTGGCCACACCTGTAATCCTGGTGACTCGGTCACTGAGGCCGCAAGACCCCGTCTGCAGTAGAGCCGGGCGTGCAGTGGGCCCAACAGGAGGATCGTGGGGGCGAGCCTGACTCTGTTCCAGCTCCTGTCCACAGTGGCTGCTCCCCCTCTAAAGCACAATCGAGTGGGCTTTGTGTTTTTTATTTATTTATTTTTTTTTTTTTCCCTCTCTCTCCTCCGTAGAGTGGATGCACTTGCCAGAGAGACAGAGACAGACAGAGGGAAAGTGAGAAATCACCCCCTGGGGGAGGTGGCCAAGCTGCAGTCTCTTCCCCGTTCTCCTCCTGGGAGTTTTGGGCACGCAAATATATGTGTCTGCTGGTTTTTTGGTTTTGTTTTTAAAGAATTGTTTTTGTTTCTTTTTCTTTTTTTTTTTTTCCTAGTCCCTCTTGGGATTTTGGGCATGCATGCTCACACGCCCGGCATAAGAGTTTTAGGCTGCTGGGTCCCATAGAGTCGAACCGTGAGACTCAACGCTATGGGAGTCCAGCAACGTAACCTGCTGGTCCCCACCCCGTGTGATTGTTAAGCCATCATGTCCAGGACTCGAACTGCGGTCAGCTCTGTGGGATCCAGCACCTTAACCACCATGGCACCTGCTGGCCCCCAGGCATCATTGGTTGTAACTCCCCCTGCCCCCTTCCTGAGGTGTCTCAGGTGTGGCCATTGGCGGGCACACGGCGGTCAGCCACATCCCTCGGCCGGCCAGGGGACCGGATGCTCAGGTGGCGGCAATCAGACCCCAGCCCGTTAGCGCAGGCCCATGCTGGGCGTGGGGACAGCCAGAACCTCTGCGGAGTAGCCACGAGTACAGGGCTGGCAGCTGGGGGTCTGTGGTCCCCGTCCCCGTGCGGGTGACCCCGCATGGGGAGCTGCCTGCCTGGCCCCTGGTGGCCACGGGGGTGGAGTTGGTGGCTCAGCCCGGCCTCGCCGCAGGTACGGCGTCATCATCGTGGGCAACCCGAAGGCGCTGTCGAAGCAGCCGCTCTGGAACCACCTGCTCAATTACTACAAGGAGCAGAAGGTGCTGGTGGAGGGGCCCCTCAACAACCTGCGCGAGAGCCTCATGCAGTTCAGCAAGCCCCGCAAGCTCGTCAACACCGTCAACCCGGTGAGCTGCGCGGGCCGGCCTGGCCCTGGGACCCGGGAGCGCTCCCCCGAGATGGCGAATTCCTCACCCGCCTCCTACCTCCACAGGGGGCCCGCTTCATGACGACGGCCATGTACGACGCCCGGGAGGCCATCATCCCAGGGTCCGTCTACGATCGCAGCAGCCAGGGTGAGTTCCCCCGCTGGGCGCTGGGCGTGGGACAGGGCGGCCCGCCACACCCCTGCGCCGGGCTGCTGACCGTTCCCGCTTCACAGCTGTGTGTCCCCACTCCTTGGGTGGCCTCGTGGTCTCAGGCCAATAACAGGTTGGCCTCTGAGAACGAGGCGTCTTCCAGATGAGACAGCTCTGCTCCCAGCCCCGCGACCCCCTGGATCGCCTCTGACCTATGACCCCACCCTCAGCACACCTTGGCGGCAGGTCACCCCGCAGCTTCCCGGGCAGCCACAGCCTTGTGTCGGGCTTCGTGGCCTTGTTGAAGCGTCCATGGTTCCATGTCGGGGAGCCTGGCAGGCCACGGGGTGGTGCTGTCCTTGCTTCCCATCAGGGGGGATGGGGGGGTGCGTCTGTGCCTTCCCACCTGAGCCTCGCCCCTGCTGCCCGGCCTGTCTGTCTAGGAGGTTCCGATCCTCATTCCTGCCTCCCGGGCGCCTTCTCCACGTCAGCCCCACCTGCCCTGACGGAAGGAGCCCCCGAGCTCCGGGCACCATCTTCTCAGCCACTTTCCTTCCCCCGACACGCACCCTCCTGTCCCTGGGCGAGCTGCGGGTCCTGGGTGTCCCCCGGGCCGGCTCGGGCTCACGCAGGATCGTGCCAGGCCTGGGGCTCCAGCCGCCCTCTGCCGTCCTTTGTCCCCGTCCCTCTGCTCCCCGGCGTGGGGTGGGCCCTGGCTCCCTCGGGCCTGGCCAGCCCGGGAGCGTCTGGGGGGCTGTGTGCGTCCGAGGCCTGTATCCTGGGCTCAGGGGTTGCCGTGCTCGTGCTCGGTGGTGGTGACTGGGGAGGGTGCGTGCAGTGTGAGTTGGAAGTGCGCCCAGACTTTTCTAGGTTTTTGCCATAGGGCACATGTGCTCCCCAGAGAGGGAAAGTGCTAAGTCACCCCCGGGGGATGACCATGCACGGTCCCTTCTCCCTTGGGATTTTGGCCACACACGCGCGTGAGCCCTGCACGATTTTCAAGCTGCTGGGCTCGGGGCTCGAACTGCAGTTGGCCAGGTGGAAATCCAGCGCGTTAACCGCCCCTTCACCTGGTGTCCCTGATAACGCTTTTCATCTGTAACATGGTGTAGTGTTTTTTTTAACTGATTTTTTTTTTTAAAGATTTAATTTTACTTACTATGTATTTTTATTAACTTTGCCAGAGAGGGACAGAGAGAGAGAGAGAGAGAGTGAGAGAGAGAGAGCATGCGCAAGCCGCCAGGCCTGAGACCCTAACTGTGGTCGGCATGTGGGAGCCCAGCACCTTAGCCACCAGGCCACCTGCCAGCCCCCACGTGGTGTTCACGTTTGGGGCCCTCACACCGGTGATCCCCGTGAGAACCGCCTGCGAGGAAAGGCACCCCCGGGCGCCAGACTGAGGGAGGCAGAGCAGCGCGGCCCCGCTGTGGGCGGACGGCGGGGTGTCACCGAGGCTGGTGCTAGCTGGTGACCTGCCCCCGCCCTGTCCTGCAGGCCGGCCCTCCAACATGTACTTCCAGACCCACGACCAGATCGGCATGATCAGCGCCGGCCCCAGCCACGTGGCTGCCATGAACATCCCCCTCCCCCTCAACCTGGCCCTGC